TCCGACTTTTGCCCACAACTCAGCATTCTTGTGATAACTATCTCTAATGTTTTTCACCTGATTTTCGACACGCACCACGAATTCATGGCTTGTATCAAAAATTAAATGACTGTGTGGCAGGACCTCTGCTCTACCCAATATTACCAACAAACGACAACAAGAAGTATACACGATGAGGAAAAGTAGTGACGCACAAGATTGCAGTCATCCAAATCTGAATGCAAATAGCGACTATATCTAAGTACTGAGATATCAAATCAGTTTCAAATTAGCAAAGATAGTCACGTCGTTGAGAGCGTAGCAAGGAATGAGTCTTGTACATAAGGCTGCGTTCATGCTTTGCTGCTGGTCAGTGGACGCTGCCGCAGACTGCTGCTAGAGAGCAAGGAGCGATAGCTAACCTCCTATCGCGTAATAATACCAGTAGTCTGTTACCCTACTAGTTCCCCATACTCTATCAGCTGTCTGCTTCCCTCCTATCGCAAAATTGCTCCACTTCCGGACGCTGGTAGACACTGGTGGACGTTGGCAGATGATGCCAGACGCTGGATCAATATCTATATTCCAGTCGCAGACCCGGACGCTCGAACGCTGGTGAACGCTATTGGTCGCTGGTGGACGCTGCAGCAAATTATGGACGAAGCCTAATGGGTTAACCAGCAAGCAATGTGTCCTTTTTCAACTTGAAATATTGCGTTAATGGTGAAACGTTTTGCACAATCTCTATTCTGAAGGCACAAAACGGCCATTATTCAGAGTTCCCTTCCGACTTCGCACACATCGCTTCTGATCTCTATTGAAGGCAAAAGGGAGCTTGGTTGATCAGCTTATTCATGGAGATATATGCTAAAGAGCGAGTAACTCGCAGTGCCACGGAAAACTTCCACGTTCATATGGACCATCACCTTCACTCGATAGAAGATGTTCAAAACTTGGTGGATGGGTTCTGTGAGCAGCCGCTCCGCAAGAGAGCATTGGATGCTATGCACTTTTACAAGGGCCAACTTCCAACCGCTGAATCGCTTAAAGCTCAAGTCGTCCGAGTAAGCATCGTTTGTTGATCACGCAAAGTTTTGAGCTGCTTCTGCAATTCATGCAAAAATCAAGAATGAATGGAAAACCAAGCGTGTTGTCTTTCAGAAAGGACAGTCGTCTATCGGATACATAGAGCACATTCGGACTTCTCGGTTTCCACACAAAGATTTGTGTAAGAAAAGCGCTATACTTATGGGTCAACCCAATGCACTCTTCCGTAATTTATTTATTTATTTATTTACTGAACTATTGTAGCTAACAACAAAACACTGGCAATACTAGAAGAAGATCACAGTGTTACAATAGAGATGACACAGGCAAAGAAATGAAAATAAAATAAAAGCCATCAGTGCATGTAACATTGTACCAAGCCGAAGTTTTGCGGTAATTAATGTATGTATATACAGACAGAAAATAAGGGGGAGGGGGAGGGGCGGTGGGATGGTGGACGACAGGAAGGGCAGTGGCCGGCCAACACTGCAAACCGTTAGCGGAACTTCGGCTCCGGATACCATCTTAGTAGGTCCGACAACCCTCCAGTCCACCCGAATTCTGCACGACGGGTTCTTAGGGGCTAGGTTAATGGGGCATTGTAATTCTTGTACTCGTGGACCAGCGCGCTCTTTTATTACAAGCGAGCTCTGTACGCTGCCTTTTAAGGAACGCTGGAATGCACAACAATATGTTTCTGACGGTTCCTAAGGCATCCGTCTTTTCCTAACAGAAGATCAAATGCAATGTAGTAACCTTCAATGTGACGGGACAACTTCCACAACGGCACACGCACACGAAAATTTATCCAGGTTTGTAGAAGCATTGAATGCACGGCTTATGTCACGCATAAAGCTCTCGAAGTAACGTTCGAACCTGTCTTACCCTTACACAGGGGCCTAACCAAAGAAGTCCGCCAACTTACCATGGAACTTTGAATGAAGGCTTGGGTAGATCGATAGTTTATAAGGCCATTTACAAATATAGATAGCAAAACTGCAACCTGCATTTCACAAGCAACTTGAGCAGGCAAAGTCGTCAAACGTCAAACCTTACCACTGAACCACCCCGACTCGATTCGACGTATGCGAATCCACGACTATGCTTCAAAGCTCACCACCAAGCCTCCGCCCTACTGCACCATTACAAACTTTATCTGCTCATAAGCTGCTTGTGTAATGCAGGTTGCTGTTTTGCTATCTATATTTGTGAATAACCCTATTGACTCTATCCATTACAGGTCTCCAAAGTTCCATGGTAAATTGGTGGACTTCTAAATCGCAAAGTCTGAACAAGTTCGAGCTTATTTTTTTCTAAAATGATTCAATGAACTAAATGTAAAGTAGTTTGAGATCTGAAAAGGAGCAAAGTGAGCAAGAATAGCGGGAATACAGAACATTATAGGCAGTCGGCACGATAATATGGTACTCGGCCTAAACTGCTAGCAGGACGCTATGTAAAAGGAAAATGGCGAAAAAACGAAGTGAAACGGTCGAAAACTGCGAAGAAAAGCCTTCGTTCTTGAAGAGCAATCTCGGACGAGTTCCTCGTAGGCACTCTGCCAATAACCGCTACGGTAGGTACGGCTGCAGGTATGTACTTATACACCCTAGCCGCTTCGTACCAATTCCTTCGCTTCATATTTTACGTAGCGAATAAAGCAATACGAGCGTCAGGTAAGGTGGTCCATTTGTGGGCGAGCGGGCGTGGTGGGCGTCCAGGTAGGTATGTTGTGGCTTCATAGGGCCCTTATAAGGGTACCTTCCTGGGGAAGGCGTTACGCAGCGCCTGCTTAGGGTCGCGGAACTCTATCCTGCCAGCGTACTGACCCTACTCGTTTTTGGGGATTTATCGTGCCAACTGCCTTTAAATCAGTCTGAAAATACCACGAGTGTTCTTTGTCTACCAGATAAAGAGGATATGGGAAGCAGTGACCGAGTTTCGAAGCTACCATATACTAGCTAGTTTAGTACCTACCTCTTCGTTTAACAGAGCTACAGCATCATCGTAAACGCGACCCTCGAAGAATTTCTCGCACTGTTTGTACTCGTCAAGCAATGTGTTCAGCACGTAACCAGTGTTCGAAAGCAGACCATTCTCGAACCTTCACAACGGATATTCAAACTTCAATATTAGAACGCTGAATATCATAGGAGCTTACACAGAACACCAACCTTTCGCAAATCTGATATACTGTGTTACAGACAGCTTTAGCCATTTCCCACTCTGTATGGCTCAGCGAACCGAAGTATTCATTGAGAATTGACTAAATGGAAGTAGTTAACGGAGGCGTCATCACGCAATTTAGATCTGAGATAAAAAGTCTTAACATAAGTTTTGCACTGGACTCAGAAGTAGGAGATATCTGCATAGCAACTTCTATTTGGCGCTATTTTGTGGAAATCAGTCTGATGTGTTACGCGTAGTTGTTACACTCAAAGCTTGTAATCCACAACTTGCTCCGTCGCAACATTGACATGTCGGTGATCCAAAAATCACTGAGGCATTTGCTAATGATCCGACTTTCTTATCCTATCAGTATGGAGAAATGGCAGAGTAGAGATGATTCCACTGGACAACACGTTGGTTAATATGCCTTCGTTTTCTAGCTAATAAACACTGCATTTTATGAGTCTAGCGTTTCTCAGGGTGGGACAGGGACGGGGAGAGGGCAGCCGGCACAAACAAACATTGTTTACTTTTTTTACTCGTTTGCGCTCTTTCACCGAAAGGGTGCATGGTGTAAATTTGGAGATTTATAGGTCAACGAGGCGATAATTTCCTGGTAAAACGGAAAAACACTGACAGCTTCCTGGGAAGAAACTGCAGGAGGATTTAGAGTTGAATAATTCGACTTGATCACTTCCCGGGAATGTCACACTTTTTTGTGGAGCATGAACTTTTTGCTACCATGTATGGCAGTTGGACAATGTCATAATGACTAATATAACAACACCTTGGCGCCAGCGTAAATGAAAGGACAAGTTTGTGATCAGAGTACTGAATAACTTCCGTAGCCAAACTCAGCAAACCGTTTCATTTTTTAGGTTTGTTGCATTCGAATAAAGATAGTGACGCACTACAGTTCAGCTTAACATCATCAAATAAAAATCCATTTTACTGTGAACCTCACGAGGCAATTTCTACATTTTCTCTCGGAATAGGCAATTTTCTTCAGCGACGAGCGGCAGTCAAGCAAAAATAATTGAAAATCACATACGGTAGAAGTCTGAAGCATCTTAAAAACATACGGTATCGCACATAGTTTGGGTGTGCGTGACAATAACCCCCACGTTGTCGAAGCGTAACGGTTTCCCCGTCCTAACATGCACAGGAATGGAGATACAGGACGGTGAAAAACGCTAATTCCTCTATCTTCCACCTAATGCCACTTGCGGCGCAGACTCTCGTTTATGCTAACAGCCATCGGTGCGGCGCTTGTCGCGCGTAGCGCTCTTGACCCTTTGCCTAGTCCTGTGTGCGCTTCGGAGTACAAGTAAAATGCAATTTCCTGATGCGGATAACATTTGAGGTGTTGCTCATGCTGCAAACCGAATAGAAGGTGAGGAAGATGACAAAGGCTAGAAATGAAGAACAACGAATCCTCTTCTTCTTCTTCTCCCTAGCGTTAGTCCCGCGCCGTCGCAGGGTCCGCTGTTCTTGCTAGACGTCGCCATTTGTTCCGATCCACTGCATCTTCTGCCGTGCTTTCACTTCAGTGGGTCCTTCTTGATGACGTCTCTCCATCTTTTCTTAGGGGCTCCTCATGGTCGCTTGCCTTCCACTTCAAATTCCAAGGCTTTTCTTATTGAGTGATCTTCAGGCCTCCTCAGTACGTGCCCATACCATCGCAGTCGCTGCTCTCGTGCTTTCAGCTGGATCGGGGCCGTCTGTGTGACCGCCCTGACATCCTCGTTTCTGACTTTGTCGAGTCGTGTCCAAACGCACGCCCATCTCAGCATCCTCATTTCAGCTGAATGGAGCTACCTTTCATGGTTCTTTCAGATGGGCCAGCACTCACTACCGTAGAGCATTGTAGGCTTTACCACCGCCCGGTACACCTTGCCCATGAGTGTTCTCGAGCACCGCCGGTCGCACAGGATTCCAATGGACTCCCTCCATTTCATCCAGGCTGCGTTGATTCGGGCTTTCACCGATTGCACGCTGCCATCAGCTGATAGGTGGCTCCCTAAGTACTGGAAGTCCTCGACCCTTTCGATGCTCTCGCCGTGACGGCCTACGATGGGTTCGCTACACTCTTCAGAGCTCAGGAACTTGGTTTTCTTAACGTTCAACCGGAGCCCATTCTCAGCGAGCACATCTTGCCACCGCTGCACCTTGTCCTGGAGTTCTTTCCTGCTGTCCGCTATCAGGGCGATGTCGTCAGCGTAGAGGTTGGTTTTCAGCGATCCCTCCATGAGTTCTTCTGCCATGATATCTAGAGTCAGGAGGAAGAGGAACGGGCTGAGGGCTGATCCTTGGTGTACCGCAACCGCGATGTTCACCTTTTTTCATCAAGCCGCTTCTCTCGGTACTTCTCCATCAGCTGTCTGGCGATGAAGATGGCGTCAGTGGTGGACCTTTCGGGCATGAAGCCGAACTGTTCCTGCGAGATAGGGACAAACTCCCTCAGCCTTGTGTTGACCAGGCGCTCGTACAGCTTCATGGTATGGGGAGTCAGCTTGATGCCGCTTAGTTGGAGCACTCCGTCGCGTCCCCTTTCTGTTTGAAGATAGGGACGATTGTGCTGCTCCTCACGCGTCTGGCATCCTTCCTTCGGCCGTAACATTTGAGAAGTCTGTTAGCCAACTCACTCCAAGCTCTCCAGAGCCTTCCATGCCTCGATCGGTACTCCGTCTGGACCCCACTGCTTTCCCAACATTCTATTCTCCCTTACTCTCCCTGCGGACTTCATCCTGTGTCCAGGGAGTGATGGGTCCTGCCACTGCTTCTATCTGTGGGCTATCCTTGCGGGAGAATTCATCGTTCAGTAGTCTCTTAAAGTACTCTTTCCATCTCTTTCTGACTTCGGCTGGTTTCCTGAAAATGGCCCCGTCGATGCTCTTCACAGTTCTTACGACCCTAATGTCCTGAGCCGCGCGATGTCGAGCTTTAGCCAGGCGAAAGACGAACTTGTCCCCTCTCGGCCCTCCAGCTTCTCGTACAGGGCGTCCATTTCCGTATTCTTGGCCTTAGTAACGGTCGCCTTAGCGAGTCGCTTGCAGCTCTTGTAGGCAGCGTAGTCTTCTGGGCTCCGTGTCTTTGCCTGAGTTTGTATGCTTCCTTCTTCTGCTTGACGATCCTCTGGACTTCTTCGTTCCAGAAGCAGGCTGCCTTTTCTCCTCGGATACCGCCTCGCGTCTCTCCCAGGACTTCTTTTGCGCACTGTAGGATGACCTCTGCTGCGTGGCTCCAGGTGTCCTGGACTGGCCCATGTGGGTCCGGGAGCCCAGCCTAAGTCGTGGGCTGTGGCTAGGTCAAGGATCCGTTCTCCTTCAGCATTTCTTGCTCGTATTCCTTGACCTCCGTGCACCCCTTCTAGGCCTCTTCTGTCATTTCCCACGTGGCCATTCAGATCCCCAGCTATGGTGAGGTAATCGTCTTCCGATCTTGCGGCCTCGTCAAGGATAAGGTAGCTCATCCTTTTCCGCCTCGGAGCAGCCGGATTGTGGTGCGTACACGGTCAGTACTGTCCAGTGCCCATCCATCGTGTCCATTTTCACTCCCATGATCCGGTCACTGATTCTGTTCACGGAAGAGACGCAGTCCTTCAGGGATACCGCTACCGCTATGGCAACGCCACTCCGTTTGGGGTTTGCTCTATTGAAGAAGAGTTTGACGCCTTCTCCAATCTCGCGGGCCTTCGCACCCTTCCATCGCCTTTCCTGAAGGCATAGGACTTGGATATTCCTGCGCCTCATGAGGTCGGCAACCTCGCGAGACTCCCGTATGCGACCCCAGGGTCCCTCAATTCGAACTAGCTTCTTTGACCGAGGTTGTTCACCTCGGTCCTCGCATACTGACTAAACTCGGGCGAGGGTTCTGCGCGCCACTTCCGGGTGACGTCCTAGCATTAACACTGATACTTTTGTCGACTTGTCATGATTGTTGTGACGGGTTTCTCCATCAGCCGGCCTGTCAACCTGGGCCTGACGCTGGTAACGTCTCCATTTTTGCAATTTTTGCAAGGCATGGTTTGTGCCTCGGCAGGAATTGTACTCGTGACCTACTTCAGCGTGGTTGCGAACACGAGCCGCCTTTCTTAACCACTTGGCTATCCCTGCCTTGAAGAACAACGAATGTGTAGATGTGAAAAAACAAAAATGAAAAATCAAGGAAATGCAAATTAATCGAAATCGCGTGTAAATTACTGCAATTCGGCGCGATTCCGGCTCCAAATCCGTTAAAATACTTTAAATTAACGAGTGGGACGCCTAGGCCGCTTTTATTTTCAGGTTTTGTGGGAATGCGCGGCCTCCGAGGGATATTGCAGAAGCAGCACAGTTGCTCTTGAGTTCTGGTCCTCGTCATCATCTTCTGTTCTTATTTTGCAGCACCTCAAATGTCCGTATCAGGAAATTGCAATTTACTTGTATTCCAAAGCAATTACAGGACTTGGCAAAATGCCAAGAAAGCTGCACGCGACACGCGCCGCGCGGACGGCTGCTGGCATGAACGGGAGTCTGCGCCGCAAAAGGAATTGGACGGAGCATGGGAATTAGCGTGTTTCATGGTCCTGTATCTCCATTCCGGCGTACGTTGAGACGAGGAAACCTCTACGCTTCGACAGCTGAGGGGCTGATAGTCACGCATCCCCAAACTATGTGTGATCGTACCATGGGTCTTTGAAGGAAGAGGTCGTTTTTTAAAGGTTTCTATAAAAGTTTTGAAGCGAACTCTGCTTTGCGCTTTTTTAAATACCATTTTCATTTTGAATGCACCACTTTTCGAAACAAATTTACCACTTTTCGAAGCAAATCACCACTCTTTTTAGACCGGGCAATTCATCAACCAGATCACGCTGGGCACCACCGCGGGCACCGCCCTGACGGCGCATTGCCGCGGGCCCCGCCCTGGCGGCCACTCCTACTTGTCATCGTGAACACAAATTTTCGATTTTTTTTGCTAACTTCTGATTCCAAACTTTTTTTTCTTTAGTGCTGCGCACATACACTTTGACTGAAAAGGACAGAACATCGACACATGGTAGGCTCACATCTACTCTTCGCAGAACGAAGGTCATTCCGTTTGTCCCATTTGTGCACCGACACCTTAGGTCCGCCCTGTAGGTCAAGCGCATTTTGCATCTTTTTGCAAAGTTTTGATCTTCTTCAAAATTTGCAATGTCTGGTTGGCCACAGAAAGCCCCGCCCGCCATTGGAAGTTCTGCCCACTTCGTAGAAGTCCCGCTCACCTTTGAAAAATGGTCCGAATCAGCAGTTTACAGTCTGAACTGGTATACTGAGGTCTCGCTCACCACTCGGAATATCTCGCTCATCACTCGGAATAAACTTTGCCTGGTTTTTCGTTCCCCGCATGTCAGCGAGGTCTCACTCGTCACTGCTCGGTGCAGCTCAGACTCTAACCCGCCAATCCGCACCATTTCCCGGAAGTGGGTGGAGCTTCCCATGGCAGGTGAGGCTTCCTGTAGCAGCCCAAGAATGAAATTTTCAGAGAAAGGTCAAAGTTTCGTAGGAATTGCAAAATGGTGATGTTCAAGTGGGCGAGGCTTATGTGACGGTGCATAAATGCGCGTCAATGAGCAAGTCTTGTGTGAAGAGTGCATGTGGAATGAATGAAGTTGAAAGAAGCTATGGAAATTCGAATGTCGCAACAAACTTTATAAGAAAATTGGGTGGCGTTGCCCATGGATCGATGACCTGTCTTTTTCAGCCAGAAGTATGTTGGAAAAGCGAAACACAGAAGCAGAAGTTATGAAAAAAATTTGAATATTTGCGTTCGCGCTGTAGGCGTGGACGTCGGGGCGGGGCTCGCGGTGGTGACTGGCGTGATCTGGTTGATGAATTGCCCATGGTTTGAAAAGTGGTGAATTAAAGTGAGTATGTACTCTTTCCGCTCGGGGTCGAAATATTCCCGAGACCAGTATTGAATATTTTTTTGAAGACGTTGTCATGGTGATAGGCTACAGACGAAGAGAGCCGACTGCCTCACCCTCCCTTCTCCTCTGCCAGCAACCTGAGCGCCATAACTTCAACGTTTCTAATAGCAAGAAACCTTGATCAGAGCGAAGTTCCCCATCGAATCCACTTCCACTAGTTCCTTAATCTTCGAGCAATATCTTTCAGGAAGACGATTCACCATTGGACTGAGTGCCTGCTAAACATTTTAGCACAGATACTAGGTAATCGCACAATTCTTGTCCGATCTTCAACACTTTTCTGCATCTGATTTTTCCTTCTTCTGATAAATAGCAATATAAAGAGCATTACCCCTCACGGATGTACGACCATTGCTAGGCGATATCTGGACGCTTTCCTAGCAGAATGAGCGAAGCTGTATGTAAAAAACTTGGAAATATTGTTCTTGAGCAGGTTGTAGTCATTGACTTCTTCTCTCGTGCTGCTCGGACGCAAATGCATGAGCTGCCCATCGAGATATCACTTCGCGGTACACCAGTCCAAACAAATTAAGAGTGATGCTGCTAGGGTTATGTCCAAACGTCTGCTCCGAGACATCAGTAGTCGCAGGATGCACCCGCATGCAGAGCACACTACCCGCATTAATAAGGCGCAGCAGGAGGTTAAGTTCTTTAGCTCACGTGCCCTCTGACGACAAAGTTAAATTATTGTCTCATAGTACGTTTAGTAGCAGTGCCTGGCTTTAATAGGGCGCCTGTCTACTCGCCCGTCTCCCTAGTAGCCCTGAGATATTATCCTATCCAGCGATATGATAATATACGTTTGAACACAAAGTTGTATTTGAACAAAAATCGGACAAGAATTATGGGAAAACCTTAAGACCAAAGCAATCATTAACCGAGGAAATAATATTCATGATCAGACCTTGAAAATTGCGAACGGTAGGGTGGGGCTTTCGAGATAATGAAAAAGCTCCTCAGCGAGATCATTCATGCTATAATCGGCACCTGGAGGGATGGAACCTTTCAAGACATTCATGCACATCTACAAATAACAACATTCGAAGGATCAAAACTTCCAGACGAAGACGAATCCCATTTGACTAGCCGCTAACAGAACTCAAGAAAGTATTTGAACTTACATCAAAACACATGTTGTGCTTTTTTGTTTCGGGAACGCTACGTTCGTTTTTAGGAAACTCGGCCCATTCAGGAAAAGACTCCAAGAATGGTGAAGGCCTATATTTCTCGCTGTCTTTCTGATCGACCAGACGGGCAATAACTGAACCTGGGTAGAGAAGATCGCCTTCTTTCGCTACATGTTCCAGTCTGAATATCCATAATGGAGAGTTAGAACGAAGATTGGGGAGAATACATTATGAACGCACCTTCCAGGGGCCTTTTTGACTTCTACGTTGAAAACCAGCTTCATTGACTCAACAGAAGCGTAGACTGCACCAATGCCAACCCACTCCTGAATAACAACATAAGACAATGCAGAGCTTTCCCCTTCGCTCAACGCTGTTCGTTCACTTCACTTATCTTACGTTCAATCATCTAAAATTCTGTACATCCTCCCATTCATGCTTCTTTACGAATACGAAAATGAATGAATGAATGTGTCGTCATGCCTCTCGCCTTGGGTTTCAGGTGATCACTGCTCAGACAAAAACATCAGTTACATTCAATGGGCAGTAGAACTCGTTGAACCTTCACGTTGCCGTTGATTTCAGATTCCTCGGCCCCTCCCCATCCTCCTCCGTACCGGCTTCAGTTGTGAAGGGTGAATAACGCTTTTCAAAATTGCGATCCTACTATATATAATCCGCTGAGTATGTCTGTCAGTGTGTATTTGTGTGTGCTCCTGTCTGTCACGAAATTCATAGCGAGCGTCGCAGAAAAGATAGGATGACCGTTCCAAGAAGTGATATACACGGCAGTACGGGAACACTAAGTGGGTGACAGGAAGTGATAACATCTGATAAGATTCGATAAGGGGCCTTAGAAGGGGAGGGTGATAGAAATCGTAGTGCGAGTTGCAGCAGCTGCGGGACCGTGATTTCAAGAAGTGGTATAGGGGAACGGATGGACATGATTGGGGGTGGCAGGTGATAACACCTGATAAGATTCGATAAGGGGACCTAGAAATGGAGGGCGAGTGGCAAGTTGCAGCAGCTGGGGACCGTGATTTCAAGAACTGATATGCCGTAGATTGGGGGCTCACATGAGCTGATAACATTTGATCAGATCCGATAAGGGACCCTAGACGCGGGTGTCACAATTCTTAGCGCAGGTTGAAAGTGGACATGATTGGTGTGTGACAGAAACTGATAGCACCTGATGAGATTCGATAAGGGACCTTAGACGCGGAGGGTCACCAAATTCCCAACATCGCTGCAGTGAATTGAAACCGTGGTTCCGAGATGGTATGCCAGGATGGACGGGGTGACAGAATCTAATAACATATGATAAGATTTTATAAGGGACCTTATATGCGGAGGGTCACCAAGTTCGTAGGGCAGGTTGCAGGGTCTGTGGGACCTTGGCTTCAAGAAGTGGCGTGGGGGAGGGGCGGAACCCACTGATGGGTGACACAAAGTGACCGATAAGAGTGGAAAACGTCATCATGCGGAAATCCGCAACACCGCTTACAAACATCATGCGAGTGATATGATACAGGTATCAGGCTATCAGTAATTCGTACACAACTCATTCCTATGCTTTATCGTTATTGACATCATGTATGACCACTAAAGCAACCGGAGTTCAGATGCATCACGGCTGTTTACTCAGTTGCCATGAACAGCAGCAACTAACTTTGTTATTATGACCATGAGAATCTTCCATCAACAACCCGAGAGAGGACCATTCGAAGCGCTAGACTGCCGAATGCGGGAGTGCATTCCAGAAAAAACCCTTCAGTGGTGGAGAATTGAGCGGTAGGATGCTTCGAAGGCTGCTCTTACAGGGTGCCGAATTTTCGTGTGAGGGACATGAAGATTTTGGTCCAACCCTCCAAAAGAATTATTGTCCAAAAGAATGGACATAAGGATAGATTTTAGCGTTACATTGGGCAATGGGCACAAAATGTAATAGGGGACAGTACGGAAGTATCCTACAATATTCATAGCGAAATTCATAGCGCCGGTCCCAGTCGCAGTGAGACATCGGTTCCAAGGAGTGATGTAGGGGGTGTGAGGGGAACACTAATGGTGGGTGACAGGAAGTGGGTACGATTCGATAAGGGGCTCCAGAAGGAGAAAGTCACCATATTCATAACTCAGGTGACAGCATCAACTAGCTTTTCATTCTAAGATATGATATAGGGTACGGGACAAGAACATTATTTTTGGGTGATGAGAACTGCGAGCTGCTGATAGGCGATAAGGGGCTCCAGAAGGGAAGGTCACCATATTCATAACGCGGGTGACAGCATCGAAGAGGCGTTCATTCCAGCAAGTGATATAGATGGTGAGATGGGGACATCAACGGTGGGTGACTAGAAGCGATAGCTACTGGTGGGGGCTGATAAGGAACGTTGTAGTCGTCGTCGCTGTTCAAGGTGGTTCACGCTACCAAATCATAGAGATTTAGTGATGAGGACATTGATGATGGGTGACAGATAATCTTATCAATCGATAAAAACAGATAAGATACCATCTGCTCTGCATTTTTATCACTTCTTACCACAGCCGCGTATTGGAGGCTCAATGTGTGAACTCTTCCTTGATGGCAACCAAATCATGGCTGTCCATTGAGTGTCTGCTATTAGATGCGTGAAATGGTGTCGAGCAGGGGGGGGGGGTACAAGGAAGGAACCCAACAATTAGGACTAGGGATGTTTCATCGGTGGTAACATTCGAGCTCTCCATCGTACTTTAACAAGTACAAGGCAATGTGAAGTTCTCTTTCTCAATGCCATCCGATCCTGCAGTTATGCTTCTTTCGAAAGTTAAGGACTCATCCGAACTAATTCAACTTTCCCATTCTGATGTCCCAACTGCAGTACTTGATGATATGGCTTTGCCCTCTCACTGTTGAAAGTCTGTAGAAAGCAAGAGGGACCATATGTCGGAAGATAATGACTGATGTTCCGTTTTTCAACTCATCACCCCATATATACCATTTTCACATTAAATTCGTCCTTTTTCAAACCAAATTCGTCCCTTTTCAAACCAAATTCGTCCCTTTTCAAATAAAATTCACCCTCACTTTTCATCAAGTTAACCACACTTATTAGGGCGGGCAACTCATCAACCAGATCACGACAAACATCACTGCGAGCCCCGCCCCGACGGCCACGCCCACTTGTCAGCGCGGACATAGATTCTCGAATCTTGTTTCATAACTTCCGCTTGCTGTTTCCCACAAACACTTTGACTGGAAGCCATCGTACATTCACACACAGCCGACTTCGCCTATTCTCTAAAGGGTTTGGCACTCCAGGCTGACCACGCCCACTGGCTTTTCGCGGAATCTCGATATTTTTTCAAAAATTTTGCATTTTGGGGTGCTGCGTGAAGCCCCACCCACGGTGAGATGCTCCGCCCACTTTGAATAAGCCCCGCCCACTTTTCAAAAACGGTGCAAATCGACAGTATAGAGACTTGGCTTGCATGTTAGGGTCTCGTACGTCACTCGGAACAAGAAAACCCGGCAAAGTTTATTCCGAATGATCATCAATACCCTAGCATGCAAGACAAGTCCCTATACTGCCGAATTGCACCATTTTTGAAAAGTGGGCGGGGCTTATTCAAAGTGGGCGGAGCATATTACAGTGGGCGGGGCTTCACGCAGCAACCCTAAAATGCAAAAATTTTGAAAAAACATCAAGATTCAGAAAAGCCAGTGGGCGTGGTCAGCCTAGAGTGCCAAACCCTTTAGAGAATGGGCGAAGTCGACTATGTGTGAATGTACGATGGTTTCCAGTCAAAGCGTTTGTGGGAAACAGCAAAAGCAGAAGTTAAAACAGGACTCGAGAATCTATGTCCGCGCTGACAAGTGGGCGTGGCCGTCGGGGCGGGGCTCGCAGTGATGTCTGTCGTGATCTGGTTGATGAGTTGCCCGCCTAATAAGCGTGGTTAACTTGATGAAAAGTGAGGTGAATTGTTGAAAAGGGACCAATTTGGTTTGAAAAAGGACGAATTTGGTTTTGAAAAGGACGAATTTAAAGTGAAAATGGTATATATAATTCGCTTTGTCTGTTTGTTTGTTTGTGAGTTTGTAAGTTTGTAAGTTTGTCTGTCCGGAAATTCGGTTTAAAAAAGGACGAATTTAAAGTGAAAATGGTATATATAATTCGCTTTGTCTGTTTGTTTGTTTGTGAGTTTGTAAGTTTGTAAGTTTGTAAGTTTGTCTGTCCGAAATTCGTTCGACCTGAAGAACGGCTTGGAGAGGTCCAGCCAAGGTGGGAATTGTAGGGCATGGGACAAGAAATAAAAAGCACACTTGACCTATGGCAAGCCCCGCCCACAGTGGGCGGGGCACTCACCGATTTGGGGTTCCGCAGAAAATGTTTATACTGTCGCTTCCGGAGCAGCTTAAAGATGGGTAAAAAGGGACAAAGGTTAGTAAGGAGTCGCCAGACTAACTGTGGCAGGTACACCCTAAATGGGCGGGGCGTACCCAAGGTGGGCGGTGCTTCTCGCGAAATCCAGTAACTCGTTTCGCGAGAGTGTTTGGAAGTCGCAAAAAACTCAGTGTAGAATGTAAATATCCGGCGAATATAGGGCACGCTCAAAGTGTGTTGAGACCCGCCCACAGTGGGCGGAGCTTGCCCTGAATCGCAGGGTATTCATTTTAAGTTTGTAGCTCGGTTGCGGAACACTCCAGATACCGGAAAAAAGTGGACTAAGTTCAGCAGAGGGTCGTCGGTGAGGATTGGGGGATTCCCAACACATTTATCTCATACACCCCGGTGATTCTAAATAATGTTAAGCGGTCTTTGGTGAATGGAAATCTTCTTCTTTTGAAAAAGTCATGCTCGCAAATAGCTGCGCTGGAGGAAGTTCATTATCGTTCGAAACAGAACAACTCGCATCCAGTTTCGAAACTTCCCAACGAATACCCAACGCTGATCGTCTTTTCAAAACAGAAAACCTTCATGAGCATTTCAAAATATTTCGAGAAGCTCAAATCTAACCCTCTACAATAGCGTTATTCTTTTCCCCTCCGGTGTACCTTTAGCGAATTTATGGCTCTTTGAAGTGAAGCTGCTTTGCTCAGAGGGGACACGGTAATTGTGCTCCAACGCAATCGAAAGACAAGCAGAGGCGCGCCAATTTACCATTCAAATGGCTTTGCTGTCACTTAAACTGGCACTACGAGGGGGGGGGGGGGAAAGAAGTCACTTTTCTTCATTGACTTTCGAGGCGCTATAAGTAACACTTCATTAAATTCTAGTCGGACATTTTTACCACCATATTAAAGAGCATATCAAATACTATATTGATACTCCTCTGCCACAGCCTTTTGGACAAGCACCATCGAGAGATTCTGGCACGCGACCGCGATGTGGTGCCTGAGATCAGCGAGACAGTCGATTTCTCTGCCACCGTAGACCACACCACTGAACTCCGCCCGAACCGGGTAATTGAGAGGATTCAGGTCAGGTGACCCACTTGGATATTCCATCTTCTTTAGATTCATTTCATTCCCCCTTCCATTTCAAGTAGGCGAGAGTTTCTCCAATGCCCTTCGATTCCATGTGGTGGCACCCAATGCTGTAGCAGTTTACAGTTTCCAGGAAGCTAAGGGCGACGACTTGTGGGGAGTGTATTCTTCACAAGTTGCTCGATATAACCGCCAGCGCTCACCTTCACACTGGGGCCCTCGAAGAGAATATCGGTCTTCCCATTCCAGGTATGTCCGGCCTATACCATCAGCCCAAGCCTTGGCGACTGTGGTGGAGATGACGCCCTAGATCGTGGCGACGTTGCTGGAGCTGCTCGATGTTGGAGGTCATCCATATGGAGAGCACTGGAATCCAGGTAGCTATCCATGGGTGACTCCGTACTAGAAGTTCCGCGGCTAGGTAACAATTCCAAAGGTCTTCTCCAGTCAGGCTGCGACTGGAGATGACTTCATATCTTGGCGTACATGAAGGTGATGGGCGAGAGCAGCTCCTGATTACTGAGGAACATCTTGGGTATCTTCGGCCCCGGTACTCGTATCCACGTCTTCTGTCTGGGCAGCGAAAACTTTGCTGACTCCGTCGAAGTGACTTTTTTCTGCCCCCCCCCCTGTATTAACCCTTGCCACTGCCGCAGTCTTCCGAAAACAGGGCAGTTTTTGACTGACTTTTTTCTGCGTCGGCGGAATTGGCCGAAAATTTGTTCCCTGGGGTAGTTTGTCCTTCTCTACATGAATATCACATCCGCTAGGCACGAAACCTGCTGGCGTCCGCGCCACAGGCGCCGGCGCCAAAATACCTTAGATCACCAAATTTGCTGAAAACTTTATCTCAGGGGTAGTGTGACCTCCTGAACACGAATACAGTATCTGCTCGGCCTGAAACCTCCTGGCTCTCGCGCTGCAGGAGCTGGCGCCAAAATACCCCAAATTACCGGCGCCTGTGGCGCGGGCACCAGGGAGTTTCGGGCTAAGCGAATGTCATTTTCTTGTACAGGAGGTCAAAATACCTCAAGAGGCAACATTTGAGCCAAATCTGTCCACGGAGAAGAAAGTCGGTCAGAAAATGGCTTAATTCTGGATGGTTCGGGCAGCAAAGGGTAAATAGTGCCCTTGAACTTTTTCTCCGCGCGCCAGAAACCAGATGTTGGAGCGCAACACCATGTGCAGTGCAGGCCCACAGACACAATCTCTCTAAGTGTCCAAAAGATGTTGGAAATTCCTATTACCTTAGCTACAGGGCACGCCATCGTTGTGATCATCACAACAGTATTTGACATTCGTATTTGACCTCGAGGAGGTGGGAGGTCGTAAGCGCGGGGACCTTTCTGAAGTGAGGGTGCAGCGATACCCATGTCGTAATTATGAAAGACCTATCCATGCGAAGAATCCCTGAAGAGATCCACACAAGACAGAAGCAACCTGCCAGCGCAGAAGTGGGGAACGACAGATGACAGGAAATATGATGACCGCCCACAACGACGTCATGAATTGATAAAAAAAAGATAAAGGATAAAGTCTGTGCGTGCCGCATCCCACAAAGGGGTTGATCCCACAAAGGGGTTGATTCCACAAGAATGCGTGCCGCATCCCACAAAGGGGTTGATCAACCCCTTTGTGGGATGCGGCACGCATTCTATTGAACAGGCACATAAGTAATGGCGTTTTTTTCAACTGGAAATTGAAAAAAACGCCATTACCGCGCCACAGGCGCCGGGGCCAAAATACCCTAAATCACCAAAATCGATGAAAACTTGTATACGGGAGTTATTTGACATCCTGTTTACGAATATGATATTTATTCTTGGCGCTAGCGCTAACGTAGGACACTATGGTTATATATGGTCATATGCGCTTTGCTAAGGCTGAGCCCGGCCTGCGGGAAATCTTTCCTTTTTCCCAGTTTCAGTCTCAGCAGAGCGCTAAGCAGCACTGGTATGGAGAAATGATGTCATACTCGTGATCAGAACATCAAATGACATCTATAGATAAAGTCTTAGGATAAATTTTTTTTTGAGTTAGAGTGCCCAGTTCTCCATACTGTCATTTTCTTCGTCCTTTGTGCGCTTCTTTTTTTCTTTTTTTGTTTTCTTTTGTATCCTCGTGACGGGGGGCCCGTATTAAAAAACTCACTTTGGGAGGAAGGGGTCGTATTTAGCGGGAAATGATCACAACGCGATGGCGTGCCCTGCTTAGCTAACACAGTAACGGTACAGATAATCGTCATTTTCATCCGTTCTCGACTTGGGCCGTATGGCTTTCCATGAAAACTACACAGGGGAGGGGCCCAAAAAAGTCATTTCGGCGCGAGCCACATATCAACGAAGTTTTCGCATCCCAGACAGGGGAAGTGGATATGAGTACGAGAGTGGAAGATACCCAAGATTTCCTCTATCAAGCTGGAGCAGGCTGCCGCCAATCGCCTCATGTACGCCAAAATATGAAGTCATCTCCAGTCGCGGCCTGACTGGAGAACACCCTAATTCACGTCGCCTCTAAACAGCTGCGAAACTTCTTGAAGTGAAGTCATCCACAGATAGCTACCTGGAGGTCAGTACTCTTGATCTGCAGGACCTCCCATATCGAGCAGCTACGGCAACCGTCGCTACGGTCTAGGACATCATCTTCACCGTATTCGCCGAGGCGCGAGTTGATGGTGTGGACCGGGGTACCTGGGAAGGGGAACACCGATATTTTCTTTGTAGACCCCGACTGAAGGTGAGCGCTGGCGGTTACATCAAGTAACTCGAGAAGAACATCCTCCCTACATGTGGTCGCCCGTACCTCCTTGGAGACCTTGTGCTGCTACAGGTTTGGGTGGAATCCACACATGAAATCAAAGGGTTTTGGAAAAACTCCCGCCTACTTCGAATAGAAGGGCGTTTCGTATCTGAAGAAGATGTAATATTGAAGTATGTCCCCTGACCTGAATCCACTCAATTACCTAGTTCGGGCGGACTTCAAGAGGGTGGTCTACGGTGGCGGAGAATTCGACTACCCCGCTGATCTCAGGTACCACATGGCGGTCGCGTGCCAGAATCTCTCGATGGCGTTCGTCCAGAAGGCTGTGGCGGAGTGTCGTGATACTACTTAATATGCTCTTCAATATGGTAGTGCAAATGTCCGATCAGAATTTGATAAAGTGTAATTTATAGCGCCTCGAAAGTCAATGAGGCAAAGTGACTTTTTTTGCCCCCCCCCCTGCATAACACGTGTATTAGAACACCGGATTTTCATCTAGGCTAAACTCCTGCTGTAGATCAAAGGAGGATTTTTATTTTGGAATCCAGTCCTTTGAGCCTGAAGAGCGTTTCGAGTTTCATGGTACACAGTATCATAAGTCGGATGGTATTCTGTGCTGGAAGGTGTTAAGGAGCCAGGAGAAATTCTTAGCTCAGGATTGTTTCTTCTGCCTACTTTTCCAAAAAAAACGCAAACAAAAAAGCCAAAGCCAAGTACGGAGTCGACCTAACTCCCCAAGCATGGTGTGCCCTGGCACGGCATTGAAAGAATATTTTTGGACGACTTCCCGTTGCGTGCCAACAACCGCTTTGATGAATACGGCTACAAGTGTATATTCATATATGAAGACAGCAACGCTTCATGTTAATTGTACTTCATAAGTGAAGCGATAGGAGTATCAGCGTCGATATGACTGTGGACATGCGGGTGCGGTGGGCGTCCAGTCGGCATGTTGCAGCTTAATAGGGAGCTTTGAAGGTTGCTTCCTTGGAACATACGCTTTGTACTGCCTGTTCAGGGGCCCCGAATCATGTATCTATCCTACCCACCTTGAGGATTTAGCTTTCAACTGTAGCTAAAAATCGTGTTTATCTTTGCTGCAATTTTCAGAAGCAGTTTGTCCTCAACTCTCAAAATGCGTACACGGCCTTAAACCTCACAGCAAATAGTCGGTCGGCTGTTTGCCCTTCCATAACGAGTAACATTCTCTACGTTTTTTTATCAACTCGGATGACACAAGTTATGGTACATTTAAAGACAGTTCCCGCTATCAACTGGCCCGCGAAATGCCCCGTGCATTTGCATTTTGCATCATTTGCAAAAAAATATCGTTTTCTTCACTCGAAATTGCGAGGTAGAGACTAGACACCCTTGATTATTGCAACCCGGACTTCTCTGCAAGCTAACGGCTTACAAGCGGAACTGCGTGTGTACAGGCGTTGCCTGGAGCGCCCTAGAGTGATTTCCTGTCCTGTACTCTCACCGGGAATCGCTCGCACGTCAAATACTGACTGATTGGGCTTGCCGACGTCCAACAAACTCGTCAAAGGCGCCGACCCCACTGCTAAGGGGTCTCTGTTCAAAGTATTCCCAAAGTTTTTTTTTGCTTCTTCCTCTATTGGGGAGTTACTTATGGGCTACTGGTTCATGATTGAGCACCTGCTGCCCGTAAGCGTGTAGGCGAGTGGCGTAGGCGTGCCTGTCAAAAGATCAACCAAAAGTATGAAAACTAATAGCGAAGTGTTTGGACAGTGTCTCAATATCGACTCTGCTGTTGCGTAAATAGACTGTGTCTTCCCAGCAGAACATGGCTATATGGGTCTAGGAGAACTCATAGATTGCGCTTATGAGGTTTAGATAGATTTCGTAGCTTTCAACTTCTGAATGGAAACAATTAGGTGGTAATGGGAGCGGGGAACATCTGAGCATAATGGGACTCTTAAACGATCCACAAGTCCCGAGTTCATCCTTCGGCGACCTTGCAATGTGTGACATGGCTGTGAGTGTAAAGTGACTCAATGTCGACTTTTGCTTTCGGAGTATTCGTCTTTTGTAGCTAAACAACACAGATGTTGACGGCTACTGTTCTACCCTCATCCAGTGAATATCGACGGTCTCATCTCTCAGATATTATCGCTTTGACCTTCACTCCGACATTGTACTGATTTCAACCTCGCCTGTTTTGCTAACATTAACAGCACGGCGGCGGACGTTAGGCTTTCACCTTTAATTCTCGGTGACAGCAAGTACTGTCGAATTAAACCGTCCTGCGGATGCTGGAAGGAATACGCCATATAAACTGTAAATTACAGCGAGCAGGGTGAACATGCAGACAACTCACTGGCCGAGATTTACGACCCTCTCCACTGACTTAATAAAAAAATACAACACTGCCCAGCTCGCTAGCAGTTTTACGAATCCACCCTCTATGCTTCCGTAACGTGACCACTCGGAGTTAGGACAGATAGTAAGTAAGAATATCAAGATATGCGGATGTCGTTAATCGCGGAGCTGTAGCAGCATCAAAATATCATATAAGAATAGAATAGAATATATCGAAGCAATTATCTGGGTATTTGCGGTATTTCTGAGACCCTCCATACATACCCTACTGCGAGCTGGTTCACATGTCGCTGCCAACACCAAAAGTAGGTCGGCGAACTTTGTTGAAACACTGGCATTAAATTAAACGTACCAGATGTTTATTTGATTTGACAACTCGAAGCAACTTCAATTTTGCGCCAAGAAATAGATCGTGCCAATACACATGAACCCGTGACTAGATACCTACCTTGTTCTGTTTTTTGTATCCCAGTAGTTTTCCTGTGTAGGGGGATTTCAGAATGCTAGGGTCATTGTCTTTTTCGAAGACAACTATTGATCGACCAATCGCCACCTGAACGCAATGTTAAGGAGCATATTGAAAGTTAGCGTGGTTCAAGTCTACCTTGAATTTATCGGAAGTTTCCTCTAAATTGCATGTGTAGCTACGCTCTTGGTGAGTGACAAGCAGACTACCGTCACCTAGCAGGCGAATTTCTACCTGCGTTTTTCCACTGTTCAAAGAAACTACGTAGTTGAGAGCTCCACTACGTGTCACTGTCACTTTGTAAATGCTCATGTCTTTGACAAGATCGAAGAGGAACGTCTCTGTTAAATCCTTTGTTGGTAGAACCTGTAACGAAAATTAAGCGAAAATTCGTGTGATGACAGATAATTACTCCAACCTGTCCTCTCTCAACAGCATTTCTGAAGTTACTGAAGGCTGTAGTCACCCTCGCATGACCAATAACAGCGCTACTTATAGCAATCATTTCATGCTTAGGGAGCGGCACTTTCTGAAAGCAAGAAGGACTCTGGAACAAAAAATTATGAAAAATTGGGGCTTTAAGCATCCATTACTACCCCAATCTCCCGACATCATTCCAGTGTTTACCGACTTTTTTTCACAAGGAAATTTAGCTGAAAATTTTCCAAGTAATTTGACCTGCTATACACGGATATCACATCCGCCTGAAACCGCCAGTCTCCACCCCACAAGCGCCAGTGGCAAAATACGGGATCACCAAATATCCTTAACTAGTTCCCGAGGGTAGTTCCACTTTCTGAACTTGAATATCACCTGCAGGGGGGGGGGCGAAGAGAATCACCATCGCAGGCACCCAGAGAAGCTATTGTATCATCTAGCTGCGCCACCGCTAGCTAGAAACACTCAGGAGGCCGTGCTATACGCGCCGTGATCAAAAGAAGCATGTGGTGCCATCGCCTGTAATGCGGGCCGTTAGTGATTTAGTGCCAAACGAACGTCACTCTTGTGATAGTGCACCAAATATTCCCAGTATCTGAGTTTACACCGGATTTGGCGAGAAATCTGGTGCGCCGAATGGCGCCAGCACCAACCACTAATATTGATCAAACGATCGAATTAAATTATGGGCAAAGTTTCAGCAAAGAAAATTTTTTTCTGTTTCTGGGGTACTAATAGTTTAACAGTACTATAAATCATGAAGACAACCACAACGAACCTGAAGAACTTTATTGGCAATGCGATTATCGAGCCACTGAGTGTTGAAACGATTCTCTGTGAAATCTGGCTCCTTCAGCATGTCTACCAAATACGACACCTGAGAGGCGAACGAGGCCCGCAGCTCCAGTTCTTGTAAGGCACACAACATCACAGATACAGCTTCGTGACTGCAGATCAACAAAGCAAAGGACAACGTGCAATCTCAAATAAGTCACATTCTAGAGGCACATATAAGACCCACCGAGTACGACCGCGAGCAAACAGATGACCAAACTGTGAGTCCGCAAACTCGTGGACTTTACCAGCACTGGAAACCGAGAAGTAACCCCAAACGTTTTGAGCGGATCGGAAATTCAGCACCTCTACCGAACCCGTAGATGGTCGGAAGAAATCTTCGGGGTCCTGTAAGCATCACAGTCACACACAAATGAACAAGCGACTACACATGTCTTCAAACAAAGTGTTTGGTTTGCATTATATTAAGCACATCAAGCATACATTGAAGAAGAGAGAACATACTCGAACGAAACGCAAAAACACCAAAAATCCATTGCATAGTGAAAAAAGACTTCTTTTTATTTTGACCGCCCAGACCTATAAGTCTCCCTCGTGGCCTCCTACTGGCACATGCACATAGGTCCTCCGCGGACAACTGTCAGAAAACCAACAACCGTAAGATATACAGGGGGGGGGGCAAAAAAAGTCACTTTTCTTCACTGACTTTCGGGGCGCTATAAATTACACTTTATCAAATTCTCATCGGATATTTCCACAACATATTAAAGAGCATATTACCATCATGACACTCCGCGTGGTGTCTGAGATCGGCGAAATGGTAGATTTCTCCGCCACCGTAGACCACCCTATTGAACTCCGCCCGAACCGGGTAATTAAAGGGATTCAGGTCAGGTGACCTACTTGGATATTCCATTTTCTTAAGGTACCCAGCCCCCTTCCATTCCAAGTAGGCGAGAGTTTCTCAAACGCCCTCCGATTCCACGTGGTGGCACCCAATGCTGTAGCAGTACAAAGTTTCCAAGAAGGTACGGACGACGACATGTAAGGAGGATATTCTTCACGAGTTGCTCAATGTAACCGCCAGCGCTTACTTCAGTCTGAGGTCCACGAAGAAAATATTGGTCTTCCCATTCCAGGTACGTCCGGGCCATACCATCAACCCGCGCCTAACAACTGTGGTGAAGATGGTGTCCTAGACCGTGGCGACGTTGTCGGAGCTGCTCGATGTTGGAGGTCATCCAGATCGAGAGTACTGGTCTCCAGGTGGCTATCCATGAGTGACTCCATACTAGAAGTTTCGCAGCTGTTTGGAGGTGACGTGAATTCCAAAGGTCTTGTCCAGTCAGGCTGCGACTGGAGATGACTTCATATTTTGGTGTACATGAAGGTGATGGGCGAGAGCCAGCTCCTGCTTGTAGAGGAACATCTTGGGTATCTTGCGCCCTGGTAGCATACATGTCCTCTGTCTGGGCAGCAAAACTTTGCTGATATGTGACTCGGTCGAAGTGACTTTTTTTGGCCCCCCTGTACAATGAATGAAGCGCGCTAGTCCGACCAGGCTTACATGTTCTCACGCATTCTCTGATTGACACTGACTGTTTTAGCAATGTTCTGCTTAGGTGAGTGCTGTTTTTTAGAGCAGTTGAGGGCAGAATTCTTTCTCTCTGCCGAGATTCCAACACGAAAGCCTTCTGAGTGAGAGCACCACCATTCCAGCATAGAGTGGTAAAGTATCCCCATAAGCACGTATATTTACCGCAGCTTACAGCACACAAACAGCAACTTAATGAGCATCCTAGCCAGTACTCGTAGTGATCCATGAAACTGATAATGAGATCGTTGACTTATAGAAAAGAAAACGCTTGTCCTCAACCGATACCCAAGGACTTTCTCATGCTCAACAGTAACGTATAGTGAGAGCACAACGGGCCAGAAGACTGCTTGCGTGTATTGCTCAGAACAAACAGTCCTGACTGTTAATAACCGAACTATCACATCGCGAATAAAAAACAGCAGCCATAAAAACAAAACCATTTGAAACAGCTGGTTCCTTGATTAGTTATACCCGTTTCACTGGAGCTACTGTATACTATGCCCCCCCCCGTCTGATGGTAGCTCTTTTGCAGTAGGGGGGGCTGTAACAGAAAACTGGGAGTTTTCCCCGTAAAAATGAAGAAACGTTGGAGAGAACTCGAGAGGCTGATAGGTGAGATGGAGAGGGGGGGGGGGTAGGGGAGGGGGGGGGCACCTTCTTTTCTTTTTACTTTCTTTTTTTTTCTTTTTCTTACACGACTCTTAAGCAGTGTTCAGACTTCGCCACGGCGGCGCGATCGCGCGTTCGGCGATCGATCGCGCTCCAATGCAAAAATCAACTGGCAGACGCTAATTCACAGCCGTTTTTTGCTTACTTTCCATTTTTTTCTCCTCCCGTTAGCTCCTCGCTTGTTTTTCGCCTTCCTACCACTATTTCTTCAACAGTTCCAATGGTTGCCGCTATTATGCTTGTGTATCTTTGGAATTTTCAACACACTGGAATTTTTCGGATGGGACGGCCGTGTTGAGTGCGCGCACTTTCTGTATTTCCTAGGTAAGTTCTTCCGGTTTCCTGTAGTTTGGTTATCTTTTTCATTCATATCAATCATTACTGTGCTTAGTCTGCTCGGCAATTCAGGAGTTCAGCAAAAAATGAGAATGAAAAAAATAACCAAAACTACAAGAAACCTGAAGAACCCACCTAGGAAATACATATAGAAAGGTGCGCGCACTCAACACGGCCGTCGATCCGAAAAACTCTAATTTATCTGAAAATTTCAATATTGTTAAGAGTAAGCAAGCATAATAACCAGCAAACATTAAAACAGATAAAAGGAATAGTGGTAGGAAGGTGAAAAAAGAAGCGACAAGCTAACGGGAGGAGAAAGAAGGAAGAAGTAAGCGAAAATGGCTGTGAGTTAACATTCGTCCAGTCGATTTTTGCATTGGAGCGCGATCGAATCAGCCGCGCTACACAATCGACGCTAGCCACAGCGACGCTCATCAGCCAGACATGCAAGACATCACTGCGAACCCCGCCCGGACGGCCACGCCCACTTGTCAGCGCGGACAAGATTCTCAAATCCTGTTTCATATCTTCTGCTTTTGCTGTTTCTCACAAAATACTCTGACTGGAAACGACCCGGCATTGACACATGGCCAACTCGCGCCCATTCTCTAAAGGGTTTGGCGATCTAGGCTGACCACGCCCACCTGCTTTTCGCGGACTTTCGGTATTCTTTCAAAATTTTTGCATTTTAGGCGCTGCGCGTGAAGCCCCGCCCACTTTTCAAAAGTGGTGCAAATCGGCAGTATTAGAGCCTTGGCTTGCATGCTAGGGTATTGCTGACCATTGGGAATAAGAGTTGCCGGATTTTCTTGTTCCGAGTGACGAACGAGACCTTAGCATGCAAGCCAAGCCTCCATACTGCCGATCTGCACCATTTTTTAAAAAGTGGGCGGGCTTCTTCAAAGTGGGCGGAGCTTCGCAGGTTGCGCGGCTTCACGCAGCAGCCCTAACATGCCGAAAATTTTGAAAAAATATCGAAAGTCCGCGAAAAGCAATTGGGCGTGGTCAGCCTAGATTGCCGAACCCTTTAGAGAATGGGCGGAGTCGGGCATGTGTCATTGCCCGGTCGTTCTAGTCAGAGTGTTTGTGGGAAACAGCAAAAGCAGAAGTTATGAAACAAGATTTGAGAATCTATGTCCGCGCTGACAAGTGGGCGTGGCCGTCGGGACGGGGCTAGCAGTGATGTCTTGCTGATCTGGTTGATAGTTGCCCGCCCTAATAAGTGTGCTTAATTTGATGTGAAAAGTGGGAGTGAATTTGGTTTGAAAAGGGGGTGAATTTGATTTGAAGAAGGTGAATTTGAAGTGAAAATGGTATACACAGGCTGAGCGGGGGAGATAGCAAATGATTCCGTAGTGGAGGAAAAAAGCAGAAAAAATCATGGGAATTGCACTACGTACAAGCTCAGGCCAAACAGAGCTTGTACGTGGATCAGGCGAAGAGAAGCCGCGGCCGCACGATTTGTACTTGTTGGTATCAGCTGCTTTTCCTGATCACCTGACTCTCACCATTCCAAGTGGCGCGAGTTAGCACTCAGCGCTTCCTCAGTGAAAAAAGAGCAAATCATACTCTAGTAGCGCACTGAATAAAACCCTCCCCTGACAATCACACAGCTTCTTCAAACGACTTCTGCAGACTCGCTGGCAAATGGTCACCTTGCGGGCTATGTGCACCCCTAAGCTCATTAACAGCTTCTTCGCATCCTCCATTACTGAAGCTACCCAGTGCTGAAAAAAGGAATCAAAATCACTAGAATATAGTGCCTACTAGAAAATAGTTTTTCAAAGCTCTGTGTACGAAATTAGGATAACAGTAAGCATTGCAGGACGAACTTTTGCACCACTGCAAATGCAACCTGCTGAACTTAAACAGCTCTAAAGAATATGTTGCCTTGTGAAGTAAGTTGCAACTGCTTAGTTGTTTGGAAAGAAAGTCATCCAGGGAGACAGAACGACCAAAGACCTCGCAAAAATTGACATGTCATCGTTCTCTGTGATGTGTACTTCATCATCATCACCATCATCACTCCCTTCTTCTTATTTTTCTTCCTCTTTAGCGTTTGTCCCTCTCGGTCACGAGGTCCGCTCTCATGATACGATGACGCCGATTCCGTGATTGAATGCCTGATCGGGGTGAATGCCGGCTGCTTCAAGTCTGTATGCAGCGTGTAAAGCCAGCGCTTTTGGGAGCCTTTTGGTGGCTTTCCGAGTATGTCGAGTTAGAGGCCACCTTTACGGACGGTGTCACACTTGCGCGAAGTACATGGCCGTACTACATGGCCGTAACATCGAAGGCTCGTTTCTCACATTTTGCCTGCTACAGAGGTTTCACCGTACTTTTTGCGTACGATATCGCTGCAGATGCAATCCAGTAACGTGACCCCTGCGGCACCTTCATCTCCATCACACCGAGACAGGCTTCAAATTTTTTGGACGCGGACCAGCATACGGGACCATACAGAGCCACTAGTCGAATGACACCTCTATAGATCATCGACTTCAGGCGCTCTGGCCTCTTCTTGTCGCAAGAAATCCCAGACATAGATCGCCATTTCGACCTCGCTGCAGTTACACGTGAACTCTCTTCCGAGTTCATTTCTATCGGACGTGATTGCTGATCCGAGATATTTGAATGCTTCTGTACGCTTGAGCGCCGTGTCACCGACCTTGATGGAGCCGGGCTCGGGGTCGTTTGTCAAGTACTCGGTCTTGAACGTTAGACTGAATCCAAACTTCGCTAGGCGATCGGCACAAGCTTGCAATTGCTGTTGCAGTGCGTTCTTCTCCTCACAGACCAGCATCACATCATCAGCGTACAGCAGCGTTCAAAGAGCTTCTTTCTGGAGATCCCGTGAAAGGGCATCCATGGTTACAACGAAAAGGTGTGGGGAGAGCGCG